AATTAGAAAATCTGACTAGTGAGCTAAGCTTTCAATTCAAGAACTTAAAAAATAACAAAACACACCCAAATAAAATAGGAGTAACTAAATGATAAACAGTAGAAATTAACAAGTGAGAAGTCAACTGAAATCTAATTCTTTGAGAAGTATAAAATAGATAAAGTTCTGAGATTTTGATCAAGGTGAAGAAAGACAAAAATGACACTATTAGGAATAAAATAGTAGAACATAAATACAGGTAAAATGGAGGTTTTATAAATAATAAAAAAAACCCTCCTCCCCATAAATTTAAAAACCCAAATGAAATAATGATTTTCTAGAAAAAAATTACTAAAATTGGCCCAAGAGGAATAGATAAGTCAAACAGAACTATAAACTTTAAAGTAATTGCATAATTGGTAAAAATCTATCCATATACAAAACATCAAATATACTTGGTTGTACAGGGGAATTTTTACAACCCTACAAGGAACAAACAAGTTTATACAAAAGGTTCTTTGTATACCTCTTATGCCTGGCTTCAAGATATGTGAAAGAATTTAGTAAAAAAGAAGGCATCTCATTAATGACAGACAATATTCTCATTATTGAAGTTGATATGAAGAGTAACACTTCTGGTGGAAAATTACCTGTTATTATTTTAAAAGGTATACAAATGTTTATGTGGTAGAATACAGTGATGGAATTCTAGGAGGCAACCTGAAATGATCTTTAGAAAGAATATGAGAAAGCTGTTGAAATCATGCTTTGGACAGAAAATAGAAAATGCATGATTAGCCCAATGGGAAGGGATGGAGGCTTTCAGACAGAAAGGAACCAGAACTCTTCTTTTAGCTTTATGAGAAATAAACACATGCCACCAAAAAGACCTGGCTTTAGAAGTGTGTTCAGAGTGTGATGTGGCCCATATAATACAGATGAAGACATGAGCCACATCTACTGACCAACCAGCTGATGAATAAGTTTTAAGAAAACCAAATATGACAAAGAGAAACAGATCAAGCACAAAGATAGGTTTTTCCAGAGATCAAGATCTTGGTATTTCATGCACATATTAACCAAAAAAACTCTCTGATTTTTTATTTCAAATTCAGGACAGCCTGGAGCCCCTAGGTGAAAACTCCATAGACCAGCTTGCTTTGTCTTTCCCTTAAAATAATATTACAAGTTATTTAATTTCTAGACAACAGGATACAGGAAGTGGAAAATTCTGCATCCTAACCCCAAGTTTAATGGCAAAGGAAATGAACAGGGCAGAGTGACACCTAGAAGAGGCAAAAAGGCCAGCTCCCCAAGATGGTAAGTGAAGGGGCATCTGGGGGACCACCGAGGACAGTTACTTTAAACAACAGGGACCCAATTTTGTCCCTACACCTTGCAGAAGTAGAATGCATATCCAAATTCACCCAATTAAGACAGATCCCACTGACTTCATGGGCAAGGAAATCAGGGAAGACAACCTTAGAACACTCCAGGAAATTTTTCTCTTCTTAATTCTCTGGCTGCCTATAATTCCAGCCTGTAGAACTCTACCCCTGTGTACAGGATTTACCAGGTAAAGTGTGCATTGTATCTGCTTTAAAAAGTCAACAGTTACAATATAAATATTCAAAATGAAAGAACAATAAGAGTTCGCTTGTATGAGGATCTAAGTAGAAAACAAATTGGCAGACATTTCTTACTAAAATCTAAAAAACTTTTCAAAGGCACTAAATTTGCTATGCTCTTTTATTTATTTAGCCTACTTCCAATACACACCATCATCATTTTAGGAAACTTTGTAACAACAGAACTTTCTTTTTGACCAAATAATTAGGAACTCTATTTTCCTTGATAATCAGGTAAAACAATGAAAAGTTGAGTTCAATCATTCAACTCTCTGCAAAAATTAGTTTTCTCAATCTGATAGTAATATTTCTATTATTTTGTGCTGCAATCTGGAAAACTACTCTGAATTCACATCAGGCATGATTTAAACCTCCTACAAACGTTATTGAGAGCCTGCATTTGCGCAACCTGTTATCCTTGTTTAGATTAATCAGGAGAAATGTTTCTCCATGTTCCCTGGGGCAGGTAAGTTTAGGTACACTAGGTACAGGGCCTAAAAGTGCCCCAGATAGCAACCATGGCATTTGCATGAGTTAATACTCCTGTACCTCATAGACTCTGTCCTTACAGCCCCTGTGCCCCAGCATGGCTCAATTTATCCTGCCCAAGTATGAGCCACTTAAGTCATGTAAGTCATCTCCAAATAGTAGTTTTTCCAGTGTAAAAACTAAAATTGAATTTGAATGATCAGATGACTCTCTAATGGGTTGCAAAAGTGTCCCACTATACCAGGACCATCTTCCCCAAAGCTAAACAGAAAGTTTAGGGCATGGGAAAGAAGGGGTAAGGGACTCTGGGCATTTCCAGGCTCCTCTATGCACAGAACTGCAGCAGGTAGACAGGGCTGGATTATATACAGTAAGAACCTTAAAAAACAAACAAACCAGTACCAGTCTATACTTTCTGCTCTGAGAACTATGCCCTTCACTCCACCCATGACAGTCTCCATTCACACCCCTCTCTTCAGGTCCGGCCAGGAGATGTGAACATCTGTCTGTGTTTCCATCTCTGTGCCACCCTAGGTGCAAGAAGGAAAGAGGGAAGAGTAGCCAGAGAAGTTTGAATTAGGGGAAGTCAGACAGATGGAGAGACCAGCAAATGCCAGGGAATGTGAATGCATCTGGGTAAGAAAACTGCCAATGGGCAGATCACTACATCTATGAGCTCATACCAGTATGAATGCCTTTTAATAAAATACCACACAATTAACATGTTAAGTTCAAGTAAAATGAGTTGGTCATGGTAGAAAAAGAGAAAGCACAAACAGGTAACCAGAGTAAGAACACTTGGAAAAGGCTGAGCCTAAAAACAGAAGCAGAGAACCCCAGAAGGCAGCCGAGCACAGTGGAAAAGGAGCTGTATGGCCATAGAACCATGGTGACTACTGTTCTTCTACAGCTCCTACTGGTGATGGTGATTTTTAGTGCTTACCACATGCCCAGCACAGTCCTAAGAATGTTCAACATATCTATTCTCACTAAATCCTCACATTAAACTGAGCCTCCAGGTAGACACAAACATGAGACATCAGACAGACCTGAGGGGAGTTCTGGCTCACCACCCACAAGCAAATTAACCTCCCCATTTCTGTCCTCATATATGAGATAGGGTAATCATACCTACCGGGGATGGTTGTGAAAATTAGAGATAATGAACTTAAGTGCCTACTAGCGGCTGTTATTAGTGTCCTTAATCAGATTAAAATAATCAGGAGTGAAGAACCAGAAGAAAGAGTTGTAATTGAATAGAAAAGGCAACAGAGAAGCAGTAATAGAAACAGGGCACAAAAGTCACCCTCTAGTGACAGAGGCTCAGGGCTTGGAGATAGGGAAAGTGAACGGAGACTGCATTTGGCTCCCCACTTTGTGTGTCCATGGGCAACTTGTGTAAACTCTCTGGATTTCAGTTTCCACCTCTACCAAGTGGAAGTATTAATACCTGCCCTTCCTGCATGGCAGCTTGTTGAAAGGACAGCAGGAGGAGACACACCTAAGTTTATTATTACAGGTAATCAGTGTATGTAAATGTGCATATCTGCTTGACAGATGGGGAAATCCACTTCCCCTCATTCCGTACCTAAGGGGAATTAAAACACTCAGCTAGGGGAACCATGCCAAAGCCAGGCAGTTACAGACTGCAAAGTCATTAACTAACATGTGCCTCCTTTGCTCACTATTATGAGATCTAACTCATTTAATCTGACATTGAAGGTTTGCTTCAGATTTACCTCCCACAACTTCCACCTTCCTCTAAGCCTTCCCTTCTACCGGCTTTGTGCTTCCCTTCCAATTTGTGCCTTTGTTTATTACTCTCGGGATTTTTGTTCCCAATCATCCCCAACTGACCATATCCTGGGCATCCTTAAAAACCCAGTGTAAAAGCTTTTTAATTTCTCACCCTCCTTAGCACTTTCCTGCATTGCAGTCACTGGTGTGTATGCTGTCTCTCTCACCAACCAGTATGCTTGAAGGTGGTAAGTAACTGTCTTTTCGTCCTTTAAGGAGCCCTGCCTTAAACTTTATGGCACAGGACCCTTCCATGGAGCAAATGTATAAAACTATGTCATAACGACCTAATAACATTTTTGAATCATTACAACAGCAGTTGACATAGAAAGAGATTAAAATAAAATAGTATTTAAAATATAAAGTAAAGAAACGTAAAGCACCATGACCATACCAAACTTTATGTAGGGGTTATGTGGAGGGTGATGCAGAGGAGAAAATAATATTCTGACACTTAAGCTTTCCAAATGAGAGTTAAAGGTCGTGTGAAAAGTGGGCTAATTATTTGTAAATATGCATCTGGCCTCACTGGCCTCAGTCAGCTAAGAAAACGCTTCCTGGAGAGTGACCGCTTTAACCCAAAGCGAGGAGGAGACTGGGCATTCCTGTCACGGCTGCGGGCACTCAGCGGGGCCCTGATCCTCTTCCGCGCACCATACGTCACTTACATGGTGGGGTCTGGGTCACTGCCCAGGCGCCGCGCTCTACTTGGGCATCCAGGGCTTTAACTGTTTTAGGCTTGGTGCTCGCCTGCGCCTCTCTCCCAGTAAGTGAGACCAAAAACTTCGACACGTGCCTCCTGCCTCAGTAAACAGGTCTCAGCTTTGGCAGAGAGCTGTCACACTCGGCGCTCAAGGCAGAGGCAGGCAGCAAATCGCAGTCTGGGCTAATACTTTGGGGTGATCTGCAGGTCAACGTCCACTTAATAACTAAAGCATAAAATTGCCCCCCAGGTCCCTTTCGACCAGAAGAAGCTGCTCTATATGTCCCCCTGCCTTGGTTCACGGGGAGATGGCCACGACCGAAAGGTCAACTCGTGACCTGGACACCCTCGGGTGCTTGCCCTGCCGTCCCCCTCACCGCAGCCCGCGGGTCCCGCTGTCTCACCAATCTTGGCCAGGGAAGCCAGCAGGATCCACAGGGTGATCTCGAAGGGGATCTGCACGTGGGGGTAATCCAGGGTGAACACTGGTAGGCGACTCTCTTCGAAGGGAGTCGTTCCAGGAGCCACCACGCTCGCGGAGCTGGGCGGGCTGGAGCTGGTGCCCATGGCCCTTGGTGCGTCCAGCAGGGTCTCAGCCTGGGTGCCAGCGGGCCCCGCCACCTGCAGGACCAGCAGCAGCAGCAGCGGCCGCGGCGGCGCCCGCCGGCACCCCCCGGGGCCTGCCTGCTTCATGGGGTCAGCTGCCTGCGCCGCCGACCAGCCCCGCACTCGGTGCTCCGCAGGCTCAGCGCATCGCGCCGGGGCAGCGCCGTCCGCTCGGCCCCGCTCAGTGCGGGTCAGCCAGAGCCGCCACCCGCCGCCCGCCGCCCGCCGCCGCCGCTCCGCCGCCTACGGCTCGGTCCCCGCTGCGAGCCGGCTCACTGCCCAGCCGGGCGCGCACGGTCACGCGAGGCCACCGCGCGGACCCTCAGCCGCCCTCCGCCGCTGGCCGCGGGCGCATGCCCGCCCCGCCGCTCGCCGGTCGCGGCTGCAGGCCCTGCCCCGGGCGGCCCCGGGCGGGGAGGGGGCGGGGCGGGCGCGGCGCCCGGGCCGCGGGGCGGACGGACGTGAGCGCAGGGCCGGCGCGGCGCGCACCTGCCCCAGCCCTCGGGGGCGCCGGGCCCCGGCGGCCTCTGGGCGGGACTGCGCTTCCCTGTCGCCCGCACCGCGCGCCTAGAGCCGCCGCCCCGGAGCCGGCGAGCTGGCGGGGGACCGCCGCGCCGGGCGCAGGTGGCCGGAACTGTCCCCGCCCCGGAGGCAGTTTCGGGCGTCCATCCAGGGAAGGGGCCGGCGCGCCCCCACGCGTGGCGCCCCGTCCTCGCAGGCTCCTGCGGGGACGCCGGGGGGCGGTGCGCGCGGGGAGGTGCCGCCCCCCAGGGTCAGGAGGACACGCGCGGCCCTGGGCGCGGGACAGGGCCTCCTGTGTTCCCCTCCCCGGAGCTGTCACGCCGCCCGGGCGCGCGGAGACCCGTGGGCAGCCCCCGGCCGTCCAGCGCTCCCGCGGAAGCCGGTCCTTCCCACCGTGCTCGGCATCCACCCATTTACCGCGATCGCTGCCACTTTTCTCCCTGACCCCGGTCACGAAAGAGAAAAACATCTTCCTCTGTGGTCAGGCTTAGAGGTGTACATGTCCGAGAGCAACAGAAATATCATTATTTCGCGAAAAACCAGTGATTTGCCTCGCTCGGATTGACTCGCTCCGCTAATTACAGGCCGGCTGCGGTTAAGAAGGAGGAAAGGCAGCGCGGTTCCGCGGGCGGCCCTAAGGCAGCCTCACCGCCCGGCGCCAGCGCCTCCTCGCTGCGAGCGCAGCCTCTCCAAGCGCGCAGTGTGACTTCGCTGATTCAGTCTCACTGTCCCAGCATTTTTGTTGCCAGAAACGGAAACGAACAGAAAAGTAGACCAGTTGTCACTCAGTTAATTGAAACGAGTTCCCCTTCACTTATGAAATAAAATCCTCTTCTCTCATGATTTTTTATAGGTCAAAACATGGTTTCTCCTAGTAAACAGCTGGCAGTTCCACATTCTAAGTGTTTGTTTTTCAAAGACCTAACAAAGGGAATCTATGAGATGTCAGCAGAGGGTACAAAAAAAAACAAGTTCTCCGTCCTAATGGAAGCGTGAAAGGAGCAGTCATAATAATGCAGGGGCAAGTCCAGGAGAGAATGGGAGGAGGAAACGAGGAAATGACAGAGCATTTCAGGTAGTATTATATAATGCATAAGTATTTCAAAAGTGCAACAGAATTGAACGCAAGGCTAATTGGGCCATCCGAAAATCTGCCATCCCTTCTCTGATCAAAGGAAATTTTCATTAAAAGATAGTGTGTTTAACATTCCCTACTGGTGAAGGAGCGGGAAATGTTAACTGCTCTTTGTGAAACCCCCCCTCTCTACATGGGGTGTTCCAAGCAAGATAGTCCATTTGTATTTTTTTTTTAAGTATCACAGAAATCCAAAGAGATAGACATTCTTGTACCCATTTTATAGGTGAAAAGTTACAGATGCAGATATATTTAAAAACAAACAAGCAAACAGATTTACAAATCAAATGAGGGTCTAAGGAATTCAAGCCCCAGCCTGCCCATGCTAACACTGTTTTCAGTCCACCCTCCACCCTATGAGTGCTGCGCATGAACAGCAAGTTATCTTCACAAATGCTTTTAAACATAACATTGGAGAATATTTTAGGGATTCTCCAAGAAAGCCAAAGCAAAATAAAGCTTTATTCACAATAAGCAAATCAGGCCAGTTCTGCAAGTTTGGTGAAATATTAGTGGGGCAAGGCCATAAACACAGAATGGTATCGAGGAGTTTGAGTGACATAAAGCTTTTAAGAATGATTGCTCATCATACACAAAAAGATAAATGACAAATCTATGCTTTTGGGACCTTACTGCCCTTAGTTGCAGTATTAACTATGTGATTAAAGATCATCGACTTTTCTTACATTTGGAAAAAAATATTCTTTTAGTTATGTATATAAATGGAAAAGGAAGGACTTAGTTTAAAAAATGCTCTCTTCATCTTTCCCCTAAAGCAAATAAGGAGTTAAATGACACCCCCATGCTTATAGACATGCTAAATGATACCCCCATGCAAATAACAGAGTTAAATGCCACCCCCATGCTAATGAGCCATCTTGTCAAAGGTCCCTATAACTAGGAGCTCAGTCCCTGAAAGTGGTATCACCATCCATTACTGCATGCATGGAATGACTGAAAAGGAGGTCATGTCTCTATCAAGTTAAAATCCTTTAGCGGCTTCTAGTGTCATTTGCAGAAGACTAAAATCCTACTACTTATTGGATTTGACTTCAACCTTCCCCTCCCACTACCTACCTCACTCCCTTCCCTCAATCATGCTCTGTAAACTCCAATCGTTACAGGCTCCCTGTAACCACAGGACCTTTGCACATTCTGTCCCATTATCTATCTGCCCTTGACCTTCTTAACTCCTCCTAGGGTCTCAACTCAAAGGTAACTGATTCAAGGAAGTGTTACCTGCCACCTGCCTTTCTGGACTAATTAGATACCGTTTGATCTCTCCATACCTTTCCTCCTTAGCACTTAATCATTTTATTTTTCTCCCACTAGACTGGAAGCTATCTGAAGACAAAAGTGATCATCTATCCTTGTTCCTAGCACAGTGCCTAGAACACAGTAAGTACCATTCAGTATGTGCTGAATGAAGAAACCTGTGAATTGAGTAGGAATGACAGCTCTCCTGCCTTAGGGTTATAGCCATAGGCCTCTCTCATGGTTGCATCAACTGCAGGGTGGATATGAATAGTTCCCCAGAAATGTTTCCCTCCAATGATCCCCAGTTTATATGTTGGGATCTCATATCTCCTTTTCTCCTTTCTACCCAAATGATGTGAAAAGCCAATCATGTGACAGGATTTCTAAATATTTTTATACATAATTACCTGATTTGAGAATGCCCTTCATGTAGTAGCATAGAAGAGTTCACTAGGAACTTATGAATCCTCACAGAGAAATTGGTGAATCTTTTTTTTCTGCCCTTTGCTCTAAGGTGGTCCATTAGAATATTAATGTGGGTAGTGGAGTCCTTAACAAGAATAACTCTTCTGAATCCCACAGTCATCAAGAGGGACAGAATCTCTAACAACACCCAAAATCACAAAGGATTTTGGAACTTAGCTTAAGAAGTGAATGTTAAAAAATAAAAATGTGAGCTCTGCAGAGGTGATTAGGGTCATTGCTCAGTGACAGGCTGGTCTTACATCCGTCCTGCTGGCAGGCTCTGGAGAACCTGGAACTTAAGTTTGTGTCTCTTGCCACACAGAGCTCAGACCTATAGTAAAGTTGTTGATTATTGAACCCCCAGGAACTCTGTGCAAAGGAGCAGGTGGGGAAATCCCCATGGTAGCAAACCACTCCAGAAGGTTAAGAGCATTATCCCTATTTGTCAGGTGTTGAGTGGTGGCTGACAGAGGAAGTGATTTGGTCCTAAGTGGCAGTGGCTGCCCTCCACCACAGCGTGGCACCAGCACTCTCTCGGCCAGGCAGCAGCTCCTTGGTATCCAGGCCTCTGTGTGCTCTTGATCAGTAGCGAGGGAACAGGGAATGACTCCATCATTAGGCACAATAGTTACAAGAGTGCCTGGCACTAGAAAATAGTTAGAACTGATATTTCACAGTATTTTTTACAAAGTTGTATAATATTCATGTTTTAATTCCCCCCTTCTTCGTAGTTTGCATTATACAACTGCTAAACTCTTAGTTTTATATTAGTATTCCAATTCAAAATCTTTGCCTATAAAAAAGTCAGCACTCATAGTATTGTTGACTTGATGATCTTATTATGTTTGAAAATCTTAAAGTCTGAACCAGCTGCTTTTTTTTTTTTAAGGCCCTAATCCTCAGCAAAAATCCGAAGCACTCTTTTAGAGAGCAGCCCCTTCAAGGGTCATGCTATGGTGTGGATATTTTATTGAGGTATATGGAATGAAATGCTTTTCTCTCTTTCTTTTTGGCCAGAGACATCTGTTTCATTTCAGCAGAGAAATGTTTTGGTCTCCGAAAAGCTACTTTCTGCAAATTCAAGGCTATAAATGAGAGTGGTACTTTTAATATTGAAATTCCATAATATGTTTGAAATATGATTCTGTTTTCAGATATTCAACCACTAAGTTTTTTAGAGCCTCAGTTTCCCTCCCTAATATAAGAGACTTGGAATAAGTAATTTGACATTTCTTTACAAAAGGCTTTATAAATCTAAGGCTTGAATCCATCTCATCTGTGTAACAGGGATACACACCTATAGGCCTCTTAGCCTCCTCGGGCACTGTGATGTCACCAGTGGGAGGAGAGGCTCCCTTCTAGTGAACTCTGCTACATTATGTCTGAATTCAGATGTGCAATGAAGTCAGAAAGCAAAAAGACAATGCAGAGGAACTTCTGAATGGCATCTCATTATTACATATAAAGCACACTCATTCATCAATTCAACAAATATTTAGAGTTTCTAGTTGCTAGGCACCTGCAACTAAAAGGTCTCTTTGTACCTTTCGGACCCAATAAATGTGTCTTTCAAGAGATTGTAAGGGAGGAAAAATAATTTTCCATCTACTCTTCTGAGATTTTAGCTGAGACTCCTGTAGTAAAAGGTTAACAAGTAAAAAAAAATGGTAGTTTATTAATATGTACCCCATGGGAGATATCAAGGGAAAAATGAGTATCTCTTAGGGTAAATTAGAATTCAAGATGAAATGCCACCTTTGTAGGGAAAGGATAGGAAGATGTAGTCTATTTGGGGACAGTTAATGATTTTTAGGAAAGATGAATGGACCTTGAGAAGTGTAAGTGAGAGATATGA